GTGGGGGGGGGCTCCCGGGCTGGGGGCTCCTGCTGGCCTGCACTGTGCTGGCCTCGGGTTCTCACAGGTGGCTCAGGCTTGGTGTTGGGAGGTTTCTGGGTGTGGGGGTCCCGAGGGCCTGGCCAGTGCTGGGGGCGGGGGAGCTTGGAAGCTGCAGTAGGGTAGGGCACCTAGTCTCACTCCCTCCCTCCCTCCCTCCTCTCCCCTCCAGATGGCAGCTACCATTGACATGAATTTCCAGAGTGATCTATTGTCAATATTTGAAGAAAATCTTTTCTGAGAGCACCTAGGTGACTTCTGACTTTGACTTTCTGGCGAAACGTTGACTCTCCATAGTGTTAGGGCGGCAGTGGAGGCGGTAGCAGCGGCAAGGGGGTGGCTCCGGGCCTGGCCCTCCTGCATGCTGTGCCCGGGGCAGGCCTGACGGGCAGCTGAGGATCGCAGAGCCTGTCTGCCTTACAGCCAGCCGGACGTCCCGCCACCCACCACCCCCCTCGCAGGACGTCGGCTCAGAGCACGCCTCTCCACGAGCAAGTGCTGGCCAGACCCAAGCCGCGCGTCCCTGCGTGCGGGGCAGAGGTCCTGCTCTCCGCCAAATGTCTACACAGTATACACAGGACATTGTTGCTGCCGCCACCGTGACTGGTTTTCTGTCCCTGAGAACGTGACGTTCGTGACGTCCTGCCCACCAGGAGTCCTTCCCCTACACCCTAGCCACCACCGCCCGCTCCCAGGAGGCCAGGGCAGGCCCGAGCGAGCTGGAGGCGGGCGAGGGCGCCGGCCCACCCCCTTGCTGGCACTGACTTTGCCTTGAACAGACCCCACCCCTCCCCTCCCCCACAAGCCTTTAATCGAGAGCCGCTCTCTGTAAGTGTTCGCTTGTGCAAAAGGGAATAGTGCCGTGGAGGTGTGTGTGTGTCCATGGCAATTTGGAGCAAGGTGACTGTCACACGCGCGTGTGTGGGCCGGCCTCGCCCAGTGAGTGAGGCCACCAACCAAAGTCAGTTCCTTCCCACCTGTGTTTCTGGGTTTTTTTTTTTTTTTCTATATATATATTTTTTGTTGGATTCTATTTTATTTTTAATTCTCTCTTCTCCTCCAGACACAATGGCACTGCTTATCTCCGAAATGGTGTGATCGTCTCCTCATTGAGCGGCGGCTGCCACCGCGCTGTGGGTAGTGTGTGACCGTGGCTGTACTGTGTAGTGAACATAGTTGGCATATCTTTGTTTGAAGTTTGTTGGTGACTCCACCAAACTGGTGTAAAAAAACTCAAAAAAAAAAAAAAACCCACAAAAAACAAAACAAAACACACAAAACACAAAAAAAAACTGCCTATATTTTACTCAGTTTCAAACTTTATTAGTCTGTTTTTAATTATAAAGCCATGTTTTCTTTTTCCCTCCCCCCCTTGTTTGTTTTTAATGTCAAATCTGTTTGAGTTGTGTTTTTTTTTGTTTTTTTTTGTTTTTTTTTTTGTTTTTTTTAAATACCAGGAAAGGAAGGGCCAGGGGACGAGGCAGGCACTGGGGTCTGGGGGGGGGCCACAGACCCCTGAGGTAGAGGCTCCCCACCCAGCCTGACGAGCCGGCTGCCCCTTCCCCCACCCCCCCTTTTTTTTTTAATTTTATAATTGGAGCCCTTGGTGAGGTTACGTGTGCCATGAGAACCCACTCTACACCACGACGCTGGTGCCTCAGTGTTGGCCAAACTCTGGAGTCACTGACTGGTTTGACTTTCATACGGTGAATATGCATTTGGTCTGTACTGATCATGGAATAAACACATCTCTCTTTTTTAATGCTGGCGTCTTCCTGACATTTCTTTGTGAACCACCTGTTGCCTAGGCTAGGCCCCGGGGGTCCCCCGGGATCCCCAACCACCTTTGTTACAAGAACTACCATCAGGGGCCACCTTGCCCATCTTCCATGACCAAGCTGAAGCTGTGACAGGGAGCCCAGGTACCCATTCTTCCTGTGGACCCTGGCCTTCTAAGTGGGTGACGTGCTGCAGCAGAACCTGGCCAAACTCCAGACAGTATTCTTCCCCCTTGCCCCTCCTCCATCCTGGTCCCGCACTCACCAGAGGACTTGGGCCGCTTCTCCCACCTCGCCTGCCTCTACCTTAACTACTCCTTTCATTTAAGCTCAGGGTTAACCAGATGTTCTTAGATAAGTGTACACCCCCCCCCCCACCAACCAGGATCCTCACCTCCCACGCATGTAGACGCACCCACACATTCCCTTCCAAGAGAGCCTGCCATGTGGCTGCCCGTGTGCCCACCAGCGTGCCACAAGGTAAGGGCGGCACTCAAGAGTGGTCCCTAGGATGTAAGATGAAAGTGTATCATTTATGTGTGCACAGACACAAACAAACATTTCTAGCACTGTTTCTTAACCCTTATCCCTCTTTGTTTTTCAACCAGAAAGGCCCTAGTATCACCTTGTGTTTGGGATCTGGGAAACCTGGCAAGGGTGTAGTTCAGGCATCCAGCCAGAGATCCCCAGTTGCCTCCCTGCCCCTGCCCCCACGCCCCAGCAGGCACTTCCTCATGTGCCACTGTGCTGGCTCAAGTGGGACTTATATTTTGGTTCTTTGGGGTTTCTTCCATCTCATCCCGCCCCCTCATTTCTGTTCCCTGTTTTGTTTGGTAACTTCCCCAGGCCAGGTCCGACTGTTTAGCTGGAGAAATGGTTTTTGTCTGCACCTTCTAAAGATTTAACTCTGCGTGGCCCTCTCCACACCTTCCTGATGGGTGTTTCTCTAACTGGGTTGTAATTAGAACTTGGATCTACTATTTAATTTCTCTGGCCATTTCCCACTCCCTCCCACAGTACTAGAAATCTTAGTCCTATACAAGAGTAAGAGGTGTGTACAAGCCCCCACTGTACTGTATGCACGGGTCGCTTGGCCAATAATTATGTCAGTGAATCTGAGACTTGTATTAAACACTTTAGACATTTGTAGAAGGGAATTCGTAGACTTTTCACTTATATACTAAAGTTTTTTTTTTTTTTGTGCAGTTCTCATTGCAAAAATAAACATTTGTACTGAATATAAAATTACCATCCTGTGACTGCTGCTGTCTTTTTGTTTGAGGGTAGAGCTGGGGGTAGGGGGATGGTGAGAGTGAGTTTTGTGTAGCAGAGGAACAAGGGAGATCTCCTGACACTCACTAGCCATGCGGCCAGGTTAGAGGACTTGGGAGGGATACCGCGATCATCCAGTGGTTGGAAAACTGATTTGATGGAAAGTGTAAACGAAACCAAAGCTATGATACAGGCTAATCGTGCAAGAAAAGAAAGGTACTAAGTACAGGCAGAACAAACCTTAGTACAATGCTGGTCGTGTAATCATAGCCGTCTACGCGACGCTGAGATATATATACATTGTTTACTGAGGTGGAACCACATAAACCACCATTCCCCTTTACTAGGAACCCACAGACTTAATTATGGTCCCAGGACAGTGTAATGTTTAGCAGCCGGAACAAGACAAAGGTGAGATTAGCAATGGGAGGTGACGAAAACAATGGAGTACTTAAACCAATAGGAACACTAAAAACGGGTAGGGCCTGTCCAATGATGATGACAGAGTCTGATGCAATACTTAATGCCCCAAATTGGTCATCAGGAAATAGCCACACGAGCGCGTTGCGAGATACCTGGATAACCATCAGAAGAAGGCTAAAAGCATTCCGATGGCAGCCTCCGGGCGGAAGGAGAGGTGGAGCCCGAGATTGTTGCTTTTTTCTGTAAGTCCTGTTCAGCAAGCTGTGTAGCTTTAGGCAAGTGACTTAATCCCCGAATTTCGGGTTCGTGGTCTGTAATACAGGGATGTGATGATAGTACCTACACTTAATGGTGTTATACGGGTTAAACGATGAGCGACCCTGAAATGTTCAGGATCTTGGGAGAAGGTTGCAAAACAGGAGGAGGAAGCTGGCCGGGTCGGGCCTCTCGCCCGACCTTGCCCCACTTCCTCTTTCAGACAGAGCTCCAGTGGCTCAACCGGCCCGGGTCCTCCAGCTCCCGGGCTGGGCTTGCCTTCTAGAAGTCCAAGAGTCTCCCGGTCTTCATTGGTCGGCACCGGCGGAGCCCCGGGCCTCAACACTTGCCGATTGGCTGCCGGGCGAGACCTGTCGCCCGCGCGTAAATAACCACCGCCCTCCAATCACAGCCGTGTAGGGGCGGGCTGACGACGGGCCCGCTGGACTAACGAGGCCGGCGCGGGGTCGAGGCCAACTGGACCCGCCGTTAGAACCAGGCCTGGGTGAGGGTGCTGCTAGGTCTCTCCCAGCCAGGCCAAGGACAGGGTCGCGCGCTCCAGGAAGGGGAGCTTTCGGAGGGCGGCAGCAGGGGCCGCCCCCAGGCCTCCTCGGCTTGCGGCGACCGCCCGCGACTCCCTCCTAATCCCAGCCAAAGCACTATCTGTCCCCCTCCTTCCGCTTCCGGGCCCGCCCTCCCCGCCATATTAGGTTCCGGCCCCGCCCCCCGTCTCATTGGCCCGGACCCAGGCCGACCCCCAGCTTATTGGCCCAGCCCTCGCACCCAAACCTTCCGGGCCAGCCTTAGGACCTTCTCCCGCCCAACTTCAGGCCCCGCCCCATCTGGGCTCCACCCTCTCCCCGTCCACCCTTTAAGCCACGCCCCAGTCCTGCAACGCCTCTAGGCCAAGTTGGGTCTAAGTTTCTGGCTCGTAGGCCGCACCTACCCTGCATTGCTCCGCCCCTTCGCTTCAGGCTCCGCCCATTTCACCCAGGTACCCCTCCGGCCCCCACGTTAGTACACATATCAATCTCCCCCTACGCTTCAGATCCCTACCCACCGCGGGCGGGAGTCCTACTAGACCCCGCCCCTTATTAAGCCCCGCCCAAGCCTGCCTAGGCCCCGCCCGCAATTCGCAACCCTCCTCCCCAAGGCTCCTCCCCAGCCACCGAAGCCCGGTCCTCACAGGCACCATCCCCTCACCCCATCCTGTTCGCTGTCGCCGTCGCGCCTAGGTGTTTACCTGGTACTTAGGTGAGTCGTCTGCAGTGGCGGTTTCGGTCTAAGCCTCCCGCCTCTTCTCTCGGAGCGTTCCTCAAGCCTCGAAGGCACGGAGGGGCCCCAGACCAAAGGCGGTGGGCTCCCCAGCCCGGGTCCCGCCTCCGTGCGGCTGCTGGCGCCCCCCGCCCACACCCCCAAAGGCAGCGCCGAAGTCGTCCCGGGTCGCGGCGACATGCCCGAGCTGGTGGTGACAGCGCTACTGGCGCCGTCGCGCCTCACTCTGAAGCTGCTGCGCGCCTTCATGTGGAGCCTCGTGTTCGCCGCCGCGCTGGTGGCCGCCGCCGTCTATGGCTGCATGGCGTTCACACACGTGCTGTGCCGGCCCCGGCGCGGCTGCTGCGGGCGCCCCCGGAGCACCCCACCCGCCTGTTTGAGCGACCCCACCCTGGGCGAACACTGCTTCCTGACCCTGAAGGTGAGCAAGCGCGCGCCCCGGGGTAGGGGGGAGGGGTGTGTGGCCGTCGGGGCTTGGTCGGGGGTGGGGGGGGGCGTCGAGCAGCCCGGGAGGTCGGGCCCTGTAGGGCTGGGGCGGGCGGGGTGTGCAGGACAGCAAATGGTTGAATCCAAATCTGGGTCTGCACGTGGCTGGGGTGTTCAAGCCTAGCGAGGAAGGGTTCCCCAGGTCTCGGACTGTGCCCTCCCCCAGAGCTCGGGCCTGCGCCTGCACTATGTCTCCGCCGGCCATGGCAATGGGCCCCTCATGCTGTTTCTGCACGGCTTCCCAGAGAACTGGTAGGTCTGGAGCCCAGGGTCCTGGGGCACACAAGGCTGGAGGTGAAGCTGGAGGTGGAGCTCGGACCACCAGGGCATCCAGGAGGCAGGCACGCAGGCTGGGTAGATTGGGGTCACAAAGCATCCAGATGGGGTGCTCGAGGACAGGGGTGCTGTCTACAGGAGGAGGCCCTGAAGGGATAGGGGACAAAGAAGTCTTGGATACAGAGTACAGGTGACCTTGCTTGCCCTCAGCCTGGGGTTCCCCCATCTTCCTTTCTGGGAAGCCCAGGGCAGGAAGGTGGGGCCGGGGGAAGGCCCCTCCCGGGCATAGGGTGGAGGTGCAGCCTGGGGACCATGATAGCCTCCTTCCCCACACACCTGACAGGTTCTCCTGGCGCTACCAGCTTTGGGAGTTCCAGAGCCGCTTCCACGTGGTGGCTGTGGACCTACGGGGATATGGCTCCTCAGACGCTCCTCAGGATGTAGACTGTTACACCATGGACCTGCTGATGACGGACATCCAGGATGTCATCCTGGGCCTGGGTGGGGATACCCCTGGCCTCCTCCCTCACCCTGCCTCGCCTCTCCCTGGCATCTCACTTACACCGGTTCTTCTGCCCTCCCCGCCCCCGCCCAGGTTATTCCAAGTGTATCCTGGTAGCCCATGACTGGGGTGCGCTCCTCGCCTGGAATTTCTCCATCTACTACCCGTCCCTGGTCGAGCGGATGGTAATTGTCAGCGCTGCCCCCATGTCTGTGTACCAAGGTGTGTTGGGGAGTCCAGGGTGCTGGGATAGGCCTGTGTGAAGGAGGCTGTGTCTATGTCTACGCTTCCCTGTCCACCAGTCAACACTCGAGGGGCTGGGGACGCACATGACCCACCCAGTCTACAGTCAATGACAGTACACTTAGGAGTGACTCACATGTTTTGAGCACCTACAGGTAACCATTGCTCTGACAAGGAGCTTGCATACAGTAACCTACACAAGCCTCCCGAGCATATCGAAAATGTTATTATCTTCGTGGTCCAGTTGGGGGAAACTGAGGCAAGAGAGGTTCAATGCCTTTCTTCTGGCAAGAAAGATATAGATAACTAAGCAACTGCAATAGCATGAGATGCCTGTCACCTCACCTGATTCTAATTCCCAGTATCATAGTCGAAGTGACACAGTGACATGGCCTTTTTTCTCTCTCTCCCTCTTTGCTGTTTTTTCTCGTCTCTCTCTGTCTAGACTGTCAGCTCCCCAGGGGCAAGGGAGTTTTGTCTGTTCCATTTACTGCTGTGTCTCCAGGGTTTTAAACAGGTCCTGGCATCCAGTAGGTGCTCAGTAAATATTGAAACGCATCCAGGCCTGGGTAGGGGAATCACACCAGTGGCTCTTGGGGGCTCCTGGGAGCTGCGGAGAGAGGTACCCCCATTCTGTGGGGTACAGTGACAACTCGGCAGGGAGGGAAGATGGTACCCAGGCCACGAGGAGTGACGAGTGTCCTCACGGGCTCAGGCAGCGATGACATTCCTGAGTGTTGGCGCATCCGGGTGCCTGTAGGGGTACAGGAGTGTGGGGCCACCCCAGGCCCGGGCCTCACATCTGCCTTTCCCCTGCCTCCAGACTACTCTATACGCCACATCGGCCAGTTCTTCCGTTCCAACTATATATTCCTGTTCCAGCTTCCCTGGCTGCCTGAGAAATTACTGTCCATGTCTGACTTCCAGGTGCAGTGAGGCAAAGGCTGGTGGTAGGTGGAGGGTAGTGGGTTGGGCCTGGGCAGGCTGGGCACTGAAGCCACAGTCCTGTTGTGTACCCAGATCCTGAAGACCACCCTCACACACCGCAAGAGAGGCATCCCACACTTAACCCCCAACGAGCTCGAGGCCTTCCTTTATGACTTCTCACAGCCTGGTGGTCTCACTGGGCCCCTCAACTATTACCGAAACCTCTTCAGGTGAGACCAGACCCAGGGCAGAAAGCTCAGGAGACTTGCGGGGGCAGGGATTTGGGGCGGTTATTCTTCTGTCTGTTTGTGTCTTGGCCATAGGAACTTCCCCCTGGAGCCCCAGGAGCTGGCCACACCCACACTCCTGCTGTGGGGAGCGAAGGACACCTACTTCGATCAGGGGCTGGTGGGAGCCATCAGCAGTCGCTTTGTGCCGGGCCGGCTGGAGGCCCACATCCTGCCGGGCATGGGGCACTGGATTCCACAGAGCAACCCCAGGGAGATGCACGAGTACATGTGGGCCTTCTTGCGAGACCTGCTGGACTAGTGGCCCTCGCTTGCTGGCTTATGTGCACCTGGGAGGCCGCACGGCGTACGTACAAGGGTGGACTCCCGGATCTTGCACAGGCGTGGAACTCTAGGCTACACACAAAGGCGTCTGTGGGTGCCCTCAGGCGCACCAGCCCATAGGCTCACACACAGGTGTGCGCGTGTGTGTGCAGGTGAACAAGCACTTCAGTCCTCAGGAGCCAGGTACAGCTCTCCGGAGCTAGATTCGGAGCGTCCTACCTCTCCTCTTCCCTGGGGCCTTACTCTTCTTGCCAGTGTCAGACCCCAGAGCAGCACCAACCACGGACTCTGACCTGCCTGTTCCTGGCTTTCCTCTGCAAGAGTCTTCAGCTAAATGCTGCTGTGTCCAATAGGGTACTGGCAGCCACATCGGGCTGCTTCAATTTACGTGCAAAGTAATGACAAGAAAATCAATTAAAAATTCAGTTCCTCAGTCACTCTGGCTATACTTCAAGGGCTCAATTGCCACAGCAGTATAAAGCATTCAGTTGGACAGTGCTGAGAGGGGTACTCCTAGAAGAGGGGTATCCACACCTGGCTCCCGACCAGCTCCCCAAGGGAGGACCCTCATGTGCAAGCAGCTGGGCGTCTAGGCTCCTGTCTGTTTGGGCCCTGAGCAGCCCCCACCATCTTCCCTCCAGTCGTGACTCCGGGCCTCTTAAGCTCAATTCTCTTGCTGCAGCCTGGGAAAGATCCCTGGGACCCCTATCCCCGATCCATGGAAAAACAGCTCTAGGCTCTGGTAGGCTGGATGTGTGAGATTCTGGACTGGCCCAGGAAGGGACCAGCTCCCTGAATGATCATCTGAGGTCTGAGACCTGCCTCTCCAGGTCCTGGAATTTCTCCAGATGAACCACAGTTTCTGCTGATTCTTTCTGGGGTCCTTTGGCTCCAGCCTCCAGATGAGGGTAGTACAAGTAGAGGATGAACCATCCATCCCTGGCTGGTGACAGCACTTCTGTCTCCCCAGCGTTTGCCTGGCCTTGGGGGACAGTGTCATGACCTGCTGCATGATGAGTCTCTCTGGGGCCCAGCAACCTCAGAAATACATTCTCTTATTCCTGGGGTGGGCCAGCCTGCTAGTCATCCCCCTCTGTCCTCTCTTGTCCCCTTCAACTCATCATGTGTGTCGCACTGATCTAGGCCCTTGCGGAGTTAGCAGCGAACAGGCATGGAGAGCTATGTGAGTGTATGACAGCTCGGGAAAGGCTTCCCTAGCTGGGGGACGCACTTCTGAGCAGTGAGTAGAAAGGTCGGAGGCAGAAATGAGCTTAGGCTCCTGGGGTAACAATGTGGGGACTAGCGGCTGCTCGGGCAGAGCGAGGGAGGAGAAGAAGAGGCCACACAGTCAGACCGCCAGGGGCTGCGAGGAGTTTGGATTCTCTTCCCAAGGGGAGCCAGGGGAGGGTTTTCAGCAGGGGAGGGACATGGCTTGCATTTTGAAAAGCTCCCTGTTGTGGCTGGACAGTCCCATGCGAGCGAGCGAGCAGGGAGACAGGCAGGGGGCTATGCACAGCCTCAGCACGGGGCCGCCCGTTAGGCCCGACCGCAGCCGGGACCCCCAGCGCCCGACCCACCCCGGGAAGCCCCCCACCACCCCTGCCAGGATAGGAGCAGTGTCCCCCTAGGGTCGAGGAGATGGGCCGGAGGGGAAGGGGACCCCGCCATCTCGGAGCCTGGGGCGAGGAGTCCTGCGGGCAGGATGAGGGCGGTGTGTCCAGGGGGCGGTGGGTCTGGCGACGGTTGCCAGGGTGACGGGGAAAGGTCTGTTGGTTGACCGGAACGGGTAGCGGTTGTCTGGGTGATTGAGGGGGCCCAGGGAAGGCTGACAGGAGGCCTCGGACAGTTGCCGGGGCGACGAGTCCGCTGACGGTTGCCAGGGCAACTAGAAGGCGCCGTCTTCCACCTCCTCTGCCGCGGCGGGTGGGAGTCAGAGACTGGCGGGGGGGTGGGAGGAGTAGTTAATCGCGGTGATTGGACAGAGTCCTGGCTAGTGCGCCAATAGAGACTCGTGGCTCGGCCGAAGCCCGCCTCTGCCAGCCTGAGCCAATCCGGGCGCGCCTTTCTCCCGGCCGAGGGGCTCGGCGCGCGCAACCCTTTGAGCGGGAGATGGGACCTGGAGGGCTCGGAGTGGGGGTGGCCCCGGCTGAGGCCCCTCCCAGTCCCGGCAACTCCCTCTCCCTGCTCTGAGCTCCTGCCTCCGGATCACCTTGCACCATTCATTCATTCATTCATTCATTCATTCATTCATTCCAGTCCGTCAGTCAGTCAGTCATTCATCTGTCCCTACTACCAGCTCTAAGCCTTTGGCCGAGCACCAAGAGGGGCGGGGGAGACGGAGCCGGGCTCAAGGGGAATAAGGAACAGGCGCTTACTTGAGGAGTGGGAGGGAAGGCTCCCTGGAGGAGGCAGCCTTGGAGCTAAACCCTACAAGGATGTGCTCCAACCCACACAAGCCTCCAAGCATAGCTGATTGTGTTCCGCGAGACTGGGGGGAAATTTTGGGATGGGAGGTCGTGGGATTGCAAAGGACTTCAAACATCAGGCGGGGAGCTTGATTCCCAGCAGGATGGGGGCCAGCAGGGGAGGGTTCCGGACAGATCTGTGTGTTTGGAATCTTACTTGGGGGCTGGTGAGGGGGAAGGACCAGAGCGGGAAGACTGAGGGTCAGGAGGCCTGGAAGGAGGATGGGCATGTTTCAGGCAATAAAGGATGAGGCCCAAATCCAGGCTCTGGGTGAGGAGCAGATATGAAGGGAAGGCCAGAAGCAGGTTTGAGTCATGTTCAGTCTAAGGGGCCTGAATCCCTGGGGCAAGGACCTAAACACATCTATGGATTAAAGACAAAGATGGCCAAGCAACCGTGTCTGTGTGGGTTGTCAGCAGAGGGATGCCAAAGCTGGGAGAGGATAAAGTCGCCCCAGAACAGAGCAGACAAAAAGACTGGAGACTAGCCCTTGGGGCCCCAACATCTAAGGGACAGGCCGAGCAGAGAAACCACAGAGTTAGGAGGGGAAGCAGGCAAGCGTGGTGCCCCAGCAGCGGTGGTGGTGGGGGGGGGGTGTCAAGGAGGAGGGGCACAGCCCATGGTGTCACAAGCTGCTGACAGATTGAAAGGACTGAGCCACACACATCCTGAGGGAGGGAACCTGAGAGTGGAGCCTGAGGACACAGGACTTGGGTGTTCTGAGCACCCGGAAGCAGGAGTGAGGAGGGAAGCATGGGGACCCCAGCTGGGGCCCTAGGGGAAATAAGTGGCACATTCAAGTGCAGTAATTTGAGGCAGGTTTGCTACAGGAACCGTATACAGTGGGCAGGGTTTGGGGAAACCAAAGGGGTGGGCACCCATGGATAGCCATTACCATCTCCTGGTCCCCCTGACCAGACAAGGGGAAAGAAGAATGTTAGAACCCAGGGACAGATTTATGTGCACAGGGCCTGGTCAAGGGATACAACCAGCTGAGGTGACCCTATGGGAAGGGATGCAGGAGGATTAATATCCCATTGTCTCCTTTGGCTTCATCTTCTGCCAGTGCCTCCTATTGGCCAAACCCACCTGGAAGCCAGAGGACAAGGCCGTCCATTGATGCAGTCTGTAGAGGTCAGCCTCTGGGGGCATGGAGTGGAGTGGAGAAGGGGAAGAATGAAGCCAGGCATGTGCAGAGAAGCAGGGGAGAGAGGGGTTGGGGGTTGGGGGGGTGTGAGATGAGTATTTGCTGTGGATTCCTGCGAACTTCACTCTATCATGGAAGCGACCTCAACTTAAGGCCAAGGGAAGAGGTAATGAAAAGCCCTGGGGACTAGGGAGGAGGAAGACAGGTGCCACACCTACAGGAAAGAGGACAAGCTTCAAGGGCCAGGGGGCTAAGGACAGGCCGGGGACATCAGAGCATCATGGTTCAGACCTGAGCAGGAGGAGATGGGGTCTGGGGTAAGGTCACGGACATGGAAGATTAGAGTGGTCTGAGCCCAGGGTCCGTGAGGCCAAGACATCCAGTGGATGTCCCACCCAATGGAGGGTCCTAAGACAGGGAAACCACCATCTCCAGAAGGCATGGAGGGGGGTGGCCTCCCCTTTTGCTTGTCCAGAGCTGCAGGGCCAGTAGCTTCTCAACTCAAGTGAGTTCCCTTCTCTTCACTCTCTTCCATATTCAGTTTTCACCCCCTCTCCTCCTCCGAGAAGCCCTACCAGCCCCCATCCCTGCCTCTGACCTAGACCTGATCTAATGGGGACTCAAGGGCTGGCACTGGGCACATTCAGGTCCCAGCTCCTGGGTCCTGCTCTGCACTGAGATGTGCTTGGTATATCCATTCATTCGACCTACTGTGAAATAGACTCTATGCTAGACACTGGGGATTCAGCAGCGAGCCAGACAGATGCCCACAGAGCTCAGAATCTAGTGGGGAGCCAGGGAGGATCACGTGGAGTGAAGAGGCCATGCGAGCCCGGAGGAGATGGTGTGAAGCCTCAGGGACGACTCCCTGGGAGAGAAGAAGGCAGAGCTTCCAGAGTGGTCTTCTACAACCTCAGTCAGATCAGCTTCTCCCCGCTAAAACCCTCCAGTGGCGGCCACTGTGCTTGTGATAGAAGCCCAGACCCTGTGGCCCCTCGAGACTTGGCCCGCATCATCTTCCTCTACCTCCCACCCCTCGCTCACTCTGTGCCCAGCACCCTGGCCTCGTCGCTGTTTCTCTCATCCACTTGCCCCTCCCTCCCCTGGCTGGGCCTTTGCATTTGCCATTCCCTCTACCTGGCCTCCCCTTCCTCTGGCTGTATGCTCCTGCCTGGCTCCTTCTCCTCCTTCAGGTCTCAGTTGTAATGTCCCCTGACTCAATGAGGCCTGTCCTGCCTCTGACACTGAAATCTCCCCTTCCCTCATGTCACACTCAATGGTTCTTATTTGTCTGCCTTCTTGTTTCTGGTCTGTCTCCCCCATCAGGGCAGGGAACAGCTCCGTCTTTGTCACCTCTGCCTATAATAGGGCCTGGCACCACG